ATCATTGGTGTGACTGGACTGGAGAGTAGGTAGCTATACTTCACAATGCAGCCAAAGAAACACCTTACCAACACATAACCAACAAAAACACGAAGGTTGCCATAGCAGTGACAAATAACAATGACTTCACTTTCTGCAAATGGTATTTGCTAACCCACTGGCTACAATACTCTGAGTCAATAAATTAGATCAAGTATGCAGATAAGGACTTCTGATTTTTCTCCAGCTTTCCTGATGTGCATACTTCTTTATGGTCTGTGACTTTTTGTGAAGGCAGAGGGACAATATAATAACCAGGCAACTAGCATTTTCAAAAGGAGGCCAACAATGGCAGCCTAGATTCTTATCTTAGACTCTCAAGGCACTCACCAGTATTTGGTACAGAAAAGCTACAACTTACCAAATTTACTGTAAATTGCTGAAATGGATCACCATTTATGCTGGTGGCGAGTGACGTGTCCATTAGATTGGTGGTCAGTTGAGGGCCAGTGGGGTGGAAAAATGCACTCTTACATTGGTGGTCAATGAAGTGCCCATTTATGTTGGCGGTGAGTGATATGCCCATTAGATTGGTGGTTACTTTACATATTAAATGGAGATTCCTCAGACCAAATGCCCATCCACATCTGTATATACACTGGTCAAAAAAATTAAAGGAACACTTTGAAAACACATCAGATCTCAATGGGGAACAAAATGCTGGATATCTATACTGATATGGACTGGGTAATGTGTTGGGAACATAAGGATGCCCCATCGTTTGATGGAAATGAAAATTATCAACCTACAGAGGACTGAATTCAAAGACACCCCGAAAATCAAACTGAAAAAATGATGCAGCAGGCTAGTCTATTTTGCTGAAATTTCATTGCAGCAACTCAAAATGGTCCTCAGTAGTTTGTATGGCCCCCAAGTGCTTGTATGCATGCCTGACAATGTTGGGGCATACTCCTAATGAGACGATGGATGGTGTCCTGGGGTATTTCCTTCCAGATCTGAACCAGGGCATCACTGAGCTCTTGGACAGTCTGAGGTGCAACTTGGCGGCGTCAGATGGACCAAAACATGATATCCCAGAGGTGTTCTATTGGGTTTAGGTCAGGGGGCCATTCAATGGTATCAATTCCTTTATCCTCCAGGAATTGCCTGCATACTTTTGCCACATGAGGCCATGCATTGTTGTGCACCAGGAGGAACCCAGGACCCACTGCACCGGCGAAGGGTCTGACAATATCTCCAAGGATTTTATCCTGATACCTAATGGCAGTCAAGGTGTCATTGTCTAGTCTGTACAGATCTGTGCGTCCCTCCATAGATATCCCACCCCAGACCATCACTGATCCACCACCAAAATGGTCATGCTGAATGATGTTACAGGCAGCATAACGTTCTCCACAGCTTCTCCAGACCCTTTCATCCCCACCCTGTCACATGTGCTCAGGGTAAACCTGCTCTCATCTGTGAAAAGTACAGGGCACCGGTGATGGACCTGACAATTCTGGTGTTCAATGGCAAATGCCAATTGAGCTCTATGGTGCTGGGCAGTGAGCACAGGGCCCACTAGAGGACGTGTGGCCCTCAAACCACCCTCATGAAGTCTGTTTCTGATTGTTTGTTCAGAGACATTCACACCAGTAGCCTGCTGGAGATCATTTTGTAGGGCTCTGGCAGTGCTCATCCTGTTCCTCCTTGCACAAAGGAGCAGATACCAGTCCTGCTGATGGGTTAAGGACCTTCTATGGCCCTGTTCAGCTCTCCTAGAATAACTGCCTTTCTCCTGGAATCTCCTCCATGTTCTTGAGACTGTGCTGGGAGACGCAGCAAACCTTCTGGCATTGGCACGTATTGATGTGCCATCCTGGAGGAGTTGGACTGCCTGTGCAACCTCATGCTAGCAGTAGTGACACTGACCCTAGCCAAATGCAAAATTAGTGAAAAACAGTCAGAAAAGATGAGTAGAGAAAAAAATGTCAGTGGCCTCCACCTGTAATACCATTTCTGTTTTGGGGGTCGTCTCATCGTTGCCCTTCTAGTTCACCTGTTGCTAATTTCATTAACACCAAAGCAGCTGAAACTGATTAACAACCCCTCTGCTACTTAACTGACAAGATCAATATCCAAGGAGCAGTATATATATATATATATATATATATATATATATATATAGCATCAAGGGTATGTTACACTACAGGTAAATGCACTATCTATTCACGTCAGATATGTCAAATTGAATGATGATATTTGTAGCCAGACTGGTTTTCAGAATATACACCTATGTTTAAAGTTTAACTACCGTATTTTTCGCCATATAAGACGCACTTTTTCTTCCCCAAAACTGGGGGGGAAATGTCAGTGCGTCTTATGGAGCGAATATGGAGCGGCCGGTCCGGTATTTCCACCGCGGCCATGTCAGAATACCGGGCCGGCCGCTCAGCTCTGCAGCGGGACCTTACCTGTTCCTCTATCCAGCGGCGTGCTGTCTTCCCGGCTTCTGTAGTGTGGGCACTGGGCATGACAGCCGGGTCCCAAGTGCACATGCGCAAGAAGCGGTGCTTTTTGTGAATGGTAAGGCGGTACCTGGGACACATGACAGATCCCAGAAGCCGCCGGACCAATCACAAAGCGCAAGTGCTTCTCGCTCTTGCGCACTGGGCACCCGGCTGTCATGCCGAGCGCCATTACAGAAGCCGGGAAGACAGCGCGCGGCTGGATCGAGGAACAGGTAAGATCAAACAACAACTCTGCGGAAGTAAGAGCGGGTACCTGTCAAATTCAGGTACCCGCTCCCCACCTCCCCAAAGGTCAGCAGTCATCTGTATCTGTACTGTCTGGCAGTCCGCAGTCTCTGGTCATCCCTGTGCTGTCCGCATCCTGTGCTGTCATCCCTGTGCTGTCCGCAGTCTCTGGTCATCCCTGTGCTGTCCGCCTCTGCTGTCCGCAGTCTCTGGTCATCCCTGTGCTGTCCGCAGTCTCTAGTCATCTCCTGTACTGTGTCTGCAGTTCATTAGTTCAGAATTTTTTTTCCTGTTTTCTGCCTCTAAAACCTAGGTGCGTCTTATGGTCAGGTGCGTCTTATACGGCGAAAAATACGGTAAATTTAAAAATAAAACTTTCCATGAATGAAAACACATCTCAGAATTATTAAATAACATTACATTTTCCGTAGAAAATAGCTTGTTCTTGACATTAAAATGTTCCAAGCAAGGTCCATTTCTTCACTTAAGTGCTACCACCCTTATCTCAGTCCACAACATAAAAAATATTTTTTTAAAAACAGAGCTAAAGCATCTTCTCACAAGATTGGGCTACTCAGCATTCCCCAGGAATCTCGCTTGGAGAATGGTGACTCTGCCTAAGGCCTGATGAGTGAAATTATGTTAAGGGAAGTGTATTAAGTAATTTCCCCCCAGTCAATTTTTTTTGTAATATTTTGGGCCTCATGCACACTGAGTGTTAAAAAACGCTGCTTTTAGGACCATCTGGCGTTTTTATATGCCTCTAAATGCCCCTAAACTTTAGCTTATGTGTCCATGACCATATAGGCTTTTTAGAGGCCTTTAGAGGCAGGGAGAAAAGTCACTGCCAGCGCGTTGAGGAGCAGCAGCATTTTAGCTGAAAATCGCTTGCAACATTTGAACACGTGTAAATGTGTTTAGGTACGTTTAGGCACATCAAGCTTTTGGGCGTTAACTAATTTCATTGTCCAAAACAATAATTTATTCTGGCCACTGAAATGAGTTAACGCTCAAGTGCTTGACGCGCCTAAACATTCTTAAACACGTTTACACGTGTCATACATTTTTTCTGCCACAACACTACTGCCAGGATGAAAGGCATTTAAAAGAACTGGTCAAGCTCCCTGTGTGCATAAGGCCTTGAGGTGGTGGATGGGCTCCTCAGTTTATAAGCTGAGCTTGCTATTTTAGTGCAAGGCCCTCTTTAATTAGAATCCCTGCTCTGAGATCAATCACATAACAGCCTGGGCACGAATGACAGTCACCAGTGCATTGTGGGTGGCTAACATCATTAGAGACTGCAGACAGTCTGTGTTTTTTTTCATCAGATAGACCTTATCAGTGAGATAACAGGATCAGCAGGAAACCTATGTAAGTACCCAGTATGGTGCCCCCTTTACACATAAATAATTAGAAATGCTACATAAAAATGTTTTTTTCACCATTAACAAACTTTATTAAGTTTATTTGCTGTTAACTGATCATTTTCACATCTATATCTAAAGAAAAACACTAGGCTATGTGTCCCTCTTAATGCAGAATAATACAGTACCTAACGCCAATCAGGAGTGTAACTAATCCTTCTCAGCTGAAATGTATATTTCATAAGTGGTCTGCCCGACATTAAGTGGGCAATGCATGGAATTTGTCTTGTTCAGTTATAAATATTCATACATGTAAATGAAGGAAGGATGGAGGGAGCTAGCAAAGATTAAAAAAAAATAACCTACAGTTAACTTTTTAACCAAACTGCAGAGCCTGTAGGCACACAACTGTTGGTGTCATTGGCACTGCTTTGGGCTAGGGTATCACCTTACATTATATAGCTGCTACAAGAAAAGAATAAATCCTTTGTGAATGTGATCAGCAAATACACTTTCAAAATCTTGGTCCTATTTATGATTATGAAATATATAGACACAGGGTACGTACAGTATATTAGCTCATGAACTACATCTCCCAGGTTTAGGAAAACAGAAATGTAATTTATATATTCATCAATTCAATCTATAAATATCACACAGTATTGGTTAAGAGAATAGAGGTGGAGGTGCTCCTGAGAAAAATACACTATATTGTCAAAAGTATTGGGACACCCCTCCAAATCATTGGATTCAGGTGTTCCAATCACCTCCATGGCCACAGGTGTATAAAATCAAGCACCTAGGCTTGCAGACTGCATCTACAAACATTTGTGAAAGAATGGGTCGCTCTCAGGAGCTCAGTGAATTCAAGCGTGGTACCATGATAGGCTGCCACCTACGCAATAAGTCCATCCATGAAATATCCTTGCTGCTAAATATTCCACGGTCAACTGTTAGTGGTATTATAACAAAGTGGAAGCAACTGGGAACAACTGCAACTCAGCCACGAAGTGGTAGGCCACGTAAAATGACAGAGTGGGGTCAGTGCATGCTGAAGCACACAGTGCGCAGAAGTCAGCAACTGTCTGCAGAGTCAATAGTTAAAGACCTTCAAACTTCATGTGAACTTCAGATCAGCATAACAACACTACGTAGAGCACTTCATGGATTGGGTTTCCATGGCCAAGAAGCTGCATCCAAGCCTTACATCACCAAGTGCAATACAAAGCGTCGGATGCAGTGCTGTAAAGCACGCTGCCAGTGGACTCTAGAGCAGTGGAGACGTGTTCTCTGGAGTGACGAATCACGCTTCTCTGTCTGGCAATCTGATGGACATGTCTGGGTTTGGCGGTTGCTAGGAAAACGTTGTGGGGTTGTTTTTCAGGGGTTGGGCTTGGCCAATTAGTTCCAGTGAAAGGAACTCTTAAGGCATCAGCATACCAAGTCATTTTGGACAATTTCATGCTCCCAACTTTATGGGAACAGTTTGGGGATGGCCCCTTCCTGTTCCAACAGCACCAGTGCACAAAGCAAGGTCTATAAGGACATGGATGAATGAATTTGGGATGGAGGAACTTGACTGTCCTTACTTCAACCTAATAGAACACCTTTGGGATGAATTAGAGTGGAGACTGTGAGCCAGGCATTCTTGTCCGACATCAGTGCCTGACCTCACAAATGCACTTCTGGAAGAATGGTCAGACATTCCCATAGACACACTCCTAAACCTTGTGGACAGCCTTCCCAGAAGAGTTGAAGCTGTTATAGCTGCAAAGGGTGCGCCAACACAATACTGAACCCTACAGACTAAGACTGGGATGCCATTAAGTTCATGTGTGTGTAAAGGCAGGCGTCACAATACTTTTGACAATATAGTGTATTTCCACATCAGGACACAAACATCCTTGACAACATGTTTGAAGTGGATTATAGTGTATTTGATCTTAGAACAGCATACGTTTAGCATGGATGGATGTCCTTTCCACTATCTGACATACAATTAGCCATCAGCAGGCACACCTTCAAGTCCATGTATGATGTGGTCAGGACATTTCCTTTTTGGCAGGGAATGTAGCAATGATAAACTACTTACTGAAAAATACTTAATAAATAATTAAATGTAGCAGCAGTGCAGGGTTCAAGGCTTTTTCCATTCAAGCAAAATTCACCTTTGCAGCCTAATGAGCAACATTTAAAGTTTCTTATGCAAGGTAAAATAAATTTTGATAATATCACTCCACTTATCTCTTAGGCCCTGTTCACACATTCACATTTTAACACACATGTTGGATCATGCTTAAATGCATGAGTCAGAGGCAATGTTATAGAGAGGACCTATGTACATCTGGGCGCTGAACTCCAGCATGTTTTTGAAAATAGTTTAGGTCCATTTATATGTTGCCTTCATACATTTCGAGGCATATAGAAATTAGATGATTGCAATAGATGAAAATGCATCTATTTGTCTACATGCATTTTTTTCGTGCATTTCCTTGCATTTCTGTGCAGCACATTGGTTAAGTAGTTAACATTTCTGCCTAGCATCACGGCACTACCTGCCTGGAGTTTGATTGTTCTCCCTGTACCTGCGTGGGTTTTCTCCAGGTGCTCCAGTTTCTTCTCACACTCCAAAGATATGCTGGTAGGTTAATTGGCTCCTGTCTAAATTGACCCTAGTATGTGTATGTATGAATGTAAGCTAGAGAACTTAGATTGTAAGCTCCTTGAGGGCAGGGACTGATGTTGAAGTGTAATACATACAGTCATGGCCGAAATTGTTGGCACCCTTGATATTTTTCCTGAAAATCATGTATTTCTCACGAAACGTATTGCATTAACACAAGTTTTGCTATACAAATTTTTTATTCCCTTTGTGTGTAATGGGACAAACACAAAAAAAATGGAGGAAAGAAAGCAAATTCGACATAATGTCACACAAACCTCCAAAATGGGCTGGACAAAAGTATTGGCACCCTTTCACAACTGCGGATAAATAAGAATTTTACAAGCATGTGATGCTCCTGTAAACTCACCTGGGGCAAGTAAACAGGTGTGGGCAATATAGAAATCACACCTGAAAGCAGATAAAAAGGAGAGACGTTCACTTAACCTTTGCATTGTGTGTCAGTCTGTCTGTGCCACACTAAGCATGGACAACAGAAAGAGGAGACGAGAACTGTCTGAGGACCTGAGAACCAAAATTGTGGCAAAATGCTTTACTCAACAATCTCAAGGTTACAAGTCCATCTCCAGAGAACTAGATTTGCCTTTGTCCACAGTGCGCAACATTATCAAGAAGTTTGCAACATATTCCATGGCACTGTAGCTAATCTCCCTGGTCGTGGAACAAAGGAAAAAAATAAAGGAAAATTGATGAAAGATTGCAACGCAGAATAGTACCCGGATGGTGGATAAGCAGCCCCAAACATGTTCCAAAGACATTCAAGCTGTCCTGCAGGCTCAGGGAGCATCAGTGTCAGCGCGAACTAGTATCCGTCGACATTTAATGAAATGAAACGCTATGGCAGGAGACCCAGGAGGACCCCACTGCTGACACAGACATAAAAAAGCAAGACTACAGTTTGCCAAAATGTACTTGAGTAAGCCAAAAGCCTTCTGGGAAAAACGTCTTGTGGACAGATGAGACCAAGATAGAGCTTTTCGGTAAAGCACATCATTCTACTGTTTACCGAAAACGGAATGAGGCCTACAAAGAACAAAAACACAGTACCTACGGTAAAATATGGTGGAGGTTCAATGATCTTTGGGGTTGTTTGGTTGTTTTGCTGCCTTGGCACTGGGTGCCTTGACTGTGTGCAAGGCATCATGAAATCTGAGGATTACCAAAGGATTTTGGGTCGCACTGTAGGGCCCAGTGTCAGAAAGCTGGGTTTGCGTCCAAGATCCTGGGTCTTCCAGCAGGACAATGACCCCAAACATACGTCAAAAAGCACTCAGAAATGGATGGCAAAGAAGCGCTGGAGAGTTCTGAAGTGGCCAGCAATGAGCCCAGATCTAAATCCCATTGAACACCTGTGGAGAGATCTTAAAATTGCTGTTGGGAAAAGGTGTCCTTCCAATAAGAGAGACCTGGAGCTGTTAGCAAAGGAAGAGTGGTCCAAAATTCCGGGTGAGAGGTGTCAGAAGCTTATTGATGGTTATAGGAAGCGACTGATTTCAGTTATGTTTTCCAAAGGGTGTGCAACCAAATATTAAGTTAAGGGTGCCAATACTTTTGTCCAGCCCATTTTTGGGGTTTGTGTGACATTATGTCATATTTGCTTTTCTGCCTCTGTTTTATATTTGTTCCAATACATACAAAGGGAATAAACATGTGTATAGCAAAACATGTGTTAATGCAATACCTTTTTTGTGTGAAATACTTGATTTTCAGGAAAAATATCAAGGGTGCCAACAATTTCGGCCATGACTGTATGTAAAGTGCTACATAAATTAAACAGCTCTATATAGGTACCTGTAATAAATACATTTTCAGCCCGTTAACAAGTCAAAAAAGGTTTTTTATTGGCCTACATGTTAAAAACATAATGCATGAAAACACATTAAAAACACATGTCAATACATGTGCAAATAACTCATCAATGTGCATTGAAAATGGAAAGGTGTGAACTTAAAGTGTTACTAAATCCAGGATCCTGCATTCACTATATCTGGACTCCTACAGAACACAGAGTATGGAAATGCAATTATTTTAGTAAATATAAACTGCTCTAGGATGATGCAAAACCCCTGATCTCTGTCTGGACAGTACTGATTGGCCCTGTGCTGATCAGATGCACTCTCCCAAGAAAAAAGAAAAACACTCTAGCAATACATACCAAACTGAGCATGTGCATGTGGCTATGGTTCAGTCTGTCTTATCAGGAGATAAGATGTGGACATTTGAACAAGAGGGGCAGAGAAGAGAGGATCAAACGACCTTTGTATACAATGGAGAGGACTAACCCCTTAGTTCACACAGTGAGTATATCAAGTATGCTTTACTGCATATACAGATTGATTTTACTGTTGTGGGTTTAGTAACACTTTAATGTTAGGTTAAATATTGTATCACCCAAATGCTGCTTTTGTTTCATACAATGAAAATAATACATAAAAAAACATATTCCAGTTGAGACGTAAATTATGAATACCACAAATAATGATTATGTTGTAGAATTTCAAAACAAAGAAATAAACACACAAATGAAAGTATAATAAACTAATTAAATCTACAGCAGACTATCTACCACGGTATGGGTCAAGTTACTTGAAAGCCATGCCAGCTGAATTCTGGAGGAGTGTCAGTAAGGAAACATACTTCTGTCCCCACCCAGCTGACTAAAAAAAGGAGTTCATTTGAGGATAGTATCAAGGAACAGGAGAAGGACAAAAAGAGGAAGCAGAACTTCTGGAGGAAGGCAAGGATTTGCACCAAAATTCCAGCCCACTGATGGATCAATACTCAAAGAAACATCTGCAAGCTTTTTCAATAAGCCAACACTGATGATGCACAGCACGCAATAAGCGTTTCTCAAACTTGTTTCAATCAGCAGCGCCCTTTCAAAGTTTGTAAAAATCTCAAGGCACTCCAATTTAAAATGGAAAAAAGTAAATGTTTCTTAAAAATTGGAAAACTGAGCACACAATACACACAATACACACACTTTGATTAACCCAAACACACCCAAATTAATTTCAGCCCCTCTATGCGTCAGATGTTTCCCTATCTCATCATAGATCTCCCCTTCACATTAGAGCCCCCCTTTACATCAGATTCTCCCCTTCACATGAGAGGTCCCCATCATGTCAGAAGCCCTTCCTTCACATCAGAGTCCCCTTTCCCTGTGCATGAGTCTTCCCATCACATCACAGCCCCCTTTCCCTGTGCATGAGTCTCCCCATCACATCAGAACCTCCTCATCACATCAGAGTCCCCCTATCATCACAGAGGTCCCCCCAATCACACAGTCTTCCCATCACAGAGAACCCCTGATCACACAGCCCCCCTCTTCACATCAGAGCCTTACCTTTTGGCTCCAGTAGCATGGCAGATAGTGGGAAGAGGAGGAGGTCTGGAGGAGGTGGAGACCCTGTGCTCCTGTATGTTGGGGGTGGCCCTGAATGCCACCTGCCCTGGATCAGAGTCATGTGTTGCCATGGTATAGTCAAGCTGGCCACTACTACCATAGCAACCAATCCTGGCATTTAGAGCATCATTGGTTGTTATGGTGCTGGCTGCCAGTCTGCCTGCATCATGGCAACTCATGAC